AAAATATAATATTTTAAATATAATATATTTATATATTTAATTTAATATTATATTTTAAATCTAATATAAATACATATTTCTATTATGTGTTTCTATTATGGCAGGCTCTTCTGTGACATAGTGTTTCCCAAAGTAGGGGGCAGGTCCCCCTTGATGGCACTAGATATGCTAGCAGTTAGCATTTATGGACAGTGATCACACTTTCTGATGCAAACAAAACATAATCTGCCTATGATAATGCAACATCTAGACATAAAAAACAAACTTACAGCCAAATGTTTTCTACCGGTATAACAAAGATTAACAAAGGTGGAGTCATCAAGCCTTTTCCTGACTTCTTATTGTGCACAACCACTACGGAATCCCTGAGAGCTCAAACTAAGATCCCTGCAGGAAAATCAAACCGCAACAAACAAAATTAAACCACAACATCACAATGCCTACATCCGTTGTCTTGTTGTTGTACAATGACAATAAAAGCTTTCTATATATATATATATATATATCTAATACTAATATTTTCTGCACCAGATCTACTTCCAGGCCAACCTAGGTACCAATTAAAGTACTGATCCTCTGCATTTTTGGAGTGTTGGATTTCTGACTCGCACTTTTTCTTTTCTTTTCTTTTTTTTTTAACTCAGTTATGTAATTCTTAAAGAATATTTACTAGCTTGTAATGCTATGTAATAGCTGGCATTTTACATTAAATTAGTAAAAAAAATAATTTCGCTATTGTAGTGCTACCGCCAATGTTGATTGATGTTGATGTTAAAACACCAAAATTGTAGAAGTGCAGTAGGACATCAACAACCGTAGTATAGTGTCAGCGTGATATAGGTTCAATTCTGGCTAAACAAAAATGACATTCAAATTTTGTGTATTTTATTTATATTGTAATGCTCAGGGAGTTTCCAGCAGCAATGCTTATATTGTCTTCCTTTATTCAATTTTAAGTAGGCTATATTAGAAATATATTTTAGTACATTATGCAAAAACATATCATGATGAATCCAAACGTATTTCAATATAGGGTTTTTTGATTTATTTTTACAATAATAAAACATACATGTTTTGTTTTTTTGGTCATTCATGATAATCTTGTATTTTCCACATTACTATGTTTGTATGTAAAACAGTTTATCATTCTTGATTTAATTTAGTGAAATGTTATTGTCACCAAAAAGCTGTGCATTTCTAAACAAAGGTTAATACTGAGAATTAAATAAAGCCAACATGGATTTAATAAAATCAATAGGTAATAATTATTATTAAAATATTTCTAGACATTTCTGGATGACAAAGTGATGGGACTGGTGCATAGTAAACCTCAGCAGTGACAGCAGTCATTTGTTTGTTTGGTGTTTTTGTAAAACAAGAATTCTTCACAGAGCATTATCTTTAGTCACTGATTATTAACTTTACTTTCAGCATTAGAATATCTGTGGCCCCTTGACAAAAAAATAAATCTGTGTCTGTCTTAGATCTATATACAATTTGTTCGTAAGAACTCAGGACATTTGACCTTTTTTTTTTTTATTTTACAATCACTGGATCACATTGGAAAATGTTACTGCGACTTTTTTTTTTTTTTTTTACAATCACTGGATCACACTGGAAAATGTTACTGCGATTAGTGACAAATCAAGATAAGAAAAGAAAGAAGCCAGGACATTGATGGATTTTTACAAAGTGATTCAAACGTAACAACGAGGGATAAAAAGATGATCAGTTGACTTTGACGGGACGGACCAAGCGTTTGAGGTGTTTGTGAATCTCCTTAATCTTCAGCCCATAGATAATAGGGTTCAAGAGAGGATTGTACACCAGCACCTGCAGCGACATCAAGAAATACGTTGTTCTGGAATAACTGCGCGTTGCGCCGAGTTTGACAATGGTGACATCATAAGTAATCAGACAAGAGTAGTTGATCAGAACCAGCAGGTGAGGTAAGCAAGTGTTTGCTGCTTTACTCCTCACCCCCTTAGGGCTCCTAGAGCAGACAATCAAAATGTTGGCATACGTGAAAAGGATAAAGATCAACGGAAAAATGGCGAGGTCCACGAGAACCACCACACCGTAGATGGACAAGAACATGGAGTTTACACAGTAGAGGTGATGGAGAGAGTTGTTGCAGAAGATCCCTCTGAGACTGAAGCTGCAGAGTTTTCTGTGGATGCTGCCAACAATAGGAACAGCTGTTTGACAAAGAGGAAGCACCCATGCGAAGACCAACAGAAGGCTAACAACTGTTCTCCTCATGATGACCGGGTACTGAAGAGGTTTACAGATGGAAACATACCTGTCATAGGCCATGACTGCCAACAGTAAAAATTCTGAACCACTCAAAGAGTAATAAAGATAACATTGGAGGAGACAGCCTGGATATGAGATGTTTTGGTTCTCGGATAAAAAGTCCACCAACAGCTTTGGGTAAATGTTGGTGCTCAGCAGAACTGAGTTGAGCAACAGAGCAGCGATGAAGATGTACATGGGCTGATGAAGATTCTGGTGAAGGAGCACCACGACCACAATGGTGATGTTAGAGAAGATGATCAGAAGATAAGCTGTAAACATGATGACAAAATAAACATATCTGTACTTTTGCATTTCTACAAATCCGTCCAGATGAATGTATGTTACATTAGAGTCTGCAGCCATGGAGCAGGTCGCAGAACAGAGGTACCAGAAAACACGCTGAAGCTGATCGTGAATGGGGGTAGAGATTTTAAATAAAGAAAACACTCATCACAAATACACAAGTCACAGCCGTAAGCAATGTAAAACTCCACCCACTAGCAGCAGCCAATTGTGAGCGCCCAAGTTTTTATTGGTCTAAAAGACAATTTTATGTAGACAAAAGCAAAAATACCAAACATCTGATATGCAAATTTAGAAAAAAAGCAGCCTTAGTAATGTCCCCTGCCTCGATCTTTACCGTCCAAAGTCAGCTTACATCACCACAAAACATTTCCTAACAATTACCCATAAGTCTTTGCGTACCAAACCATGAGGGTGCTACAGTATGTTAAGTTGATTGCATCTGAGGTTGGGATGCTGTGTGAGGTACAGTTTAGCTTAAGAAATGCCATTACCATTGTAAGTGACTTAAACATAAGGATCATGACCTTGTAGCTCACAAGGGTTCCATTACTGTAACAAATCTTAGCATGCTTATTTTAGTTTACCAGTTACTTTAATGTGTACTTTAACACCATGCTAATGTTGGCTACAGTTTTGTAGGACAAATCAAAGATATGGAGATTTCATAAGCTGAGGTGAAGAGAGGTGAAGAATAGAGTGCAGGCAGGATGGAACAGCTGGAGAAAAGTGTCAGGAGTGATCTGTGATAGAAGAGTGTCGGCTAAGGTGAAGGGAAAGGTTTACAGGACGCTGGTGAGACCAGCCATGATGTATGGTTTAGAGACGGTAGCAATAGGCAGAAGACAGGAGGCGGAGCTGGAGGTGGCAGAGTTAAAGAAGTGACAAGGATGGACAGGATCAGGAATGAGGTCATTAGAGGGACAACACAGACAGGAAGGTTTGGAGAAAAGGCTAGAGAAGCCAGATTGAGATGGTTTGGACATGTGCAGAGGAGGGACAGTGGATACAATGGTAGAAGAATGTTAGAGATGGAGCTACCAGGTAGGAGAAAGAGAGGAAGGCCAAAGAGGAGATATATGGATACAGCGAGAGTAGAGAGTAGAAGATACAGAGAACAGGGAGAGATGGAAATCAATGATTAGCTGTGGCAACCCCTGAAAAAAAAGGGACAAAGCCGAAAGAAAAAGAAGAAGAAGAACGACCAAATCTCTACCTTCACCACAGAATGTCGTTGGATGGGGGAAAACTCATGGTAATAATTTACCAAACAGTGCCAGTGGGCATGCATTTATCGGGTAACTACTAGGAGTGAGAACAATCTTATGATCATGTCTTAGCCCCGTGCACGCGTGGTGCTTGGTAGGCTATGGTTAACAAGGCATGTCCCGTACAATAATTGGACTAGTGGTGCATTACGTAGTTGCAGCACCCACTGCCATTTGCTTTGTCTGCAGTCTGCTTTGTCGACTTTGACCTCGTGAATTTCCCCCATACCTCTGGTAGTCCCTGATCTATCCAAGGTGCCATCGTGTTATCACGACCTGTAGCAGGAGAGAGCCTCCTCGTTACATCCACACCGCCTATATGACTGCGTGATTGAGCTTCTCCTGGGCCCTCAGTTGACCGCGCCAAGAAGGAAGGCTATGGAAAATTATTTAAGGGGGAATCGGGGCTGCACGGTTAATTCGGCCTTCTTCATCCCCTTTAGGCAATGTCTTAGCCCCGTGCACGCGTGGTGCTTGGTAGGCTATGGTTAACAAGGCATGTCCCGTACAATAATTGGACTAGTGGTGCATTACGTAGTTGCAGCACCCACTGCCATTTGCTTTGTCTGCAGTCTGCTTTGTCGACTTTGACCTCGTGAATTTCCCCCATACCTCTGGTAGTCCCTGATCTATCCAAGGTGCCATCGTGTTATCACGACCTGTAGCAGGAGAGAGCCTCCTCGTTACATCCACACCGCCTATAGGACTGCGTGATTGAGCTTCTCCTGGGCCCTCGGTTGACCGCGCCAAGAAGGAAGGCTATGGAAAATTATTTAAGGGAATCGGGGCTGCACGGTTAATTTGGCCTTCTTCATCCCCTTTAGGGAATGAACCTGACAGCCTTCCCACCCAAATCTTGCTGGATCTCGTCTTTAGTCCCTAAACATGGGACTCACTCTGCGCTCCTTCAAGGCTTTCTCTGATTGACGTGCAATACCAACAATTCCCCAGTAGATGGCGTAGAAAATGATACAAGCATTTTAGCTTTTTAGCATTTTAGCCTTTATGCATGTCTTTTACATGTCAATCATCTTCAGCGTTCACACCAACGCTCCATCTTCCTGCTTCTGACCCGCACCTGCACTAGGTGATACCTTACAACACTAACCCTTTTAAACTACTTTTGAACGACGTACCATGATAGTGGTTTTTAACAGGGCTTGCACAGATGTACTGAAAGGACACCGTAAAACATTTTGGATGATCAAATAATTTAAAGCTTGTACATTTTAGAATATGAATGAAATGAAATGAAATGAAAGTATGAATGAAAGATTCATACTTTACTGGCTTACACAAATGTTTCGCAAAAAAAAAAAAACAACTTTCAAGGACACCTAAAAGACAAACTTGGAATAAAAACTTGGCGCTAGAGCTACAGTGACAACACCTCCAGATCACAACACCTCTTCAGAGACACACAGTGTTTGCTCTAGAGCTAAAGCTGACCACTGGGTGATAATTAGAGGTTGTCTGAAGTCAGGCTACATCCCCCCCCGAGGCTGGGTTCTGCTGTTTGCCCTGTTACCAGTGTCACAGGAGAGACCACAGTCCACAGGCTGTGGCTATTGTCAACTCATTACTGTGTCTTTACATCATCTCTGAGCATCTGTGGATGGAGATGTCGTCTACCTGAGTTTTACCAGCCTCAGAGGAAGATGATGAAAGAGTTTTACTCCACATACTTGGTGCAAACAAAAAACTTTCTTGAACTGATCGCTGGTGTACAGGCCATGTGACACTAGCTGGCGAAAGAGAAGAAAGAGTTTTACTCCACATACTAGATATATAGATTTAATAACCCTTTGATGCACGACCCATGATATACTGAGTTTAAAAAAATGTTACTAAGTGTTTTTACGTGTTTTTAGACATAAAAATAAGAACTGATTTGGTTCTGTTTTTACACACCAAATTTTCTTTTTGAATGTTGACACAATTATTCTGCAGTTGCAAAGGCTGACCACTGTATGGCAGTGTTGGGTGATTCTCAGGCGTCCACTGTAGAGGCTTATATGCAACACTGCCATCAAAACCTATTCTTATCATAGAAAATGACATTTTAATAGCTGTCCACTGTAGTGACCGTCATGCATGAAAGGGTTAATGTACAGTACCTTTGTGTTCACTTCCTGGTTAAAAGAGGCTTTCTGCATTTCCAGCTCTCGTTTGGAGTCTGCCATTTTTGTGTCTGCTAAAAACTTAATATCCATCATTTCTC